TTTCAATTCTACGTATCCCCAAGGTCTCATCGTCGTCCCGTTGAACCCCTGAAGGTCGGAGCCTACGTAGGGAGAAAGGTTGGATTCGTCGAGCTGGAGGGTTGTGAACAGATGTGAGTACATGATGTCAACCGAGCTCCCGCCGTCGACGAGGAGGCGCCTGACGTCGAAGTTTGCCATTCGGGCACGTATGAGCAAGGGTATGTTGGAATTGGGAGATCCCCCGGGTAGTTCCTCGAGGTAAAATGTGATCGGGTTGGAGCGGCCTCGGAATTTGTCGAGCGTGCTCATTTTGCCGGAGTTGCTTGCGATGAGTTCGTCGAATTTCCTTTTCACAGATCCTATGGATAGACTCCTCGTGGCTCCATCAGAGATGACCATGGCTCTGGGGAAGTATTCCCATCGGCTGGTTGGTCGGATCGGCTCGTCGACTAGGTTGGGTCCTTCGGGGGTGCCGAATTCTCTGCTCGCGAACCAATCCTCGGGGCGGCTGACGCACAACGCGATCTGGAGCCTGCTGCTGTCTTCTGGAGAGGGAAGTTCCTCGATTTTCTTGGCTTCCGGAGCCTCTGGCCTAGGTGGTTCACCTCCTCGGGTGTATCGCTTCAGGTGCCCGTCTTTGATTAGAATTTCGATCGCAACTTTGAGATGGATGCAGTCTTCTGTCACGTGCCCGTGGGTCCTGTGGAATCGGAAGTATTTTGACTTGTCCACGTTGGGTTTGGGCGGCGTTGGTCGTGGAAATCGGACACCTCCCTGAACGAACTCGGTTTTAACGCACTCGGCCAGTATGCGTTCGCGCGAAGCGACCAAGGCTGTGTACTCTGTGAATCTTCCTGCGGGGCCGCGTGGCTCGCGTAGTTCGCGGGGCTCGCGGGGGCGGTCTTCCCGACGGCGGTCTCCTCCTCGTCGATGGCTCGAAGCTCCGTCGTCTCGGTGCCCGCGGGGGGCCTCTCTGTCTCGAGTGTCGCGAGCGGAGTTGGCCGCTTGTGTTTCCTCGAATCGGATGTAATGCGCGGCCCTGTCGAGGAAATCTTGGAGGGACGTGGGCCGGTGTATGCCTACTGCCTCGTAGAATTTGGAGTCGTAGCGTAGGCCCTGTTCCATTAAGTAGCGTTTCATTTCGTCGGAAGTTGTCACCTGCACGGCTTCCCGAGTAAACCTTTCGATGTATTTTCGGAGAGGTTCGTCGGGGCCTTGGATGATTGCCCCGAGGACTGCTTCCGTCTTCGGGTGACGTCGGGACGCCGTAAAGTGCTTGGAGAACAGGTCCTTCAAGACCCTCCACGATGTAACTGATTCGGGCTCCAGACTTTTGTACCAGGTCATAGCGCCTTTCCTCAGAGTCGTTGGGAAAAGTCTGCACTTGATAGCTCCCCGGACGTTTCAGTAGTCGAGCATAGCCTCGATGTCTTCCAGGTGATCGTCCGGGTCGGAGGTGCCGTCGTATGTCGACAGCGTCGGTGGTTTCTCCATCCCCTGGGGTATAGGGGCGGCCATGATCTCCCGGGATAGCGGGGTGCGGTAATCATCCTCGTCGCTGTGTGCCGGGGATCTGTGAGGAGATGAGCCGTTCAAGGTGTGCCCCTGGTTTCGAGTTCTCGACCTCCTGCCGGAGTTCTCAACTCGGGGGTCCTCAGTTGGGATCGTCGCTGCGTTCTGGTTCCTCCCGCGAACGTGTCTTGCCGGGGATCTGGTGCGTTCTCGTGTCGCCTGCGGTCGGTGCCTCTCCAGCCGGGGTCGGCGGTTTCTGGGTCGAGGTGAGGGACTCCTCAAACCTCCGTTCTGGTCTTCCCGCTGGGGGTACCTCGGAGGGCCGACGCGTTCTAATGCTCCAATTCTCGCATTTTGTTGGAACAGCAGCTGGTTCGTCTGGTTGATGGCTGTAAAGAGAGTGGCCACCGTTGGGTCTGCTCCCGCCGGGATGGGAACGGGGTGGAATGCTGGCGGGCTCGGGGGGCGGTGATCGGCCTGAAGGGGCCGTTCCGCAGATGATGGTGAAGCGGTTTGCCCGTCCCTTTCATCGGCTTCCGTCGGACGTGCCGTTCCTGTCTGCTTCCCGTTGGTGGCGACGTTGAGCGCAAGGTCGTGCGGAGTGTCGTCGCGGCGTGGGCTAGCCATGATCGTGGAGGTTTGGTGAAACTTTTGGTTTTCTGCTCGGAGTAACGGGGAAGTTTCAGGTTCCCACGGACGGCGCCACTGATCTGACCTGATCAGGAGGGGATCACAATATGGCCACGTGCTACTGGACGGCTACCTGTTCACCGGGGTGAGAAAGAGGAGGGGGGTGTACCTGCAAGACACTCCGATGCCAAAATAAGAAGCTGGGCAGAGTGGAAGCAATAATACAGAAAAAGGGGCAAGAAGAGTTACCTGACCCTCTTGAGGAAGAGGGTATTTATAGAGAGACCCCAGCGCTGGGCCAACGGTCGTTTGAGATGGGTTGGATGACCAGGCCCAACCCAAACGACTGCTAGGGCTTACGTGGCATAGTGAAGACCAGGACGTGGTCTTCGCCCTAGTCCAACTGCTCCTAGATCTCCGGAAAGTGGGTTTGACCTGCTCTTTCGGAGGTGGGCAGTTGGTAGATGACGTGTCCCTGCGGAGGGGAGCACGTGGAGAACGTGCGCCGAGCACGTTATTCTACCCGCGGAGGGGAGCCCGGGAGGTTCCCCGGAGCGGGTTATTCTCCCCGCGGAGGAGAGGAGCCAAGGACCGCGCTTTGGTGAGCCGGGGACGGTTCTGCTCGTCCGGTGTGGTGGACGACAAAAGGTTGTTGGGACGTTGCTTGTGTTCGGCGGCTTGCCCTGCTCGTCTCGAGGGGGCACGTGCCCGGCGTGCCCGATTCGCTTGTTGGACCGTATGCGGTATTGGGCCTGCCGAGGTTGGGCCCATACCGGAACAGTTTCTATAATAAGTTTTGTGTGAACAGTTCGAGTGAATCTTGAAACTCATTTTTGGACACACCCCATTTTCTAAATAAAATTTCATTGAGGTTTATTCGGAACTACATTTTTGTATACACCCTAATTTTACTAAACAAAATAGGGTGTATCCATAAGTACATATTCGGAATATCCTAAGATATTAAACAAAATAGGGTGTATCCATAAGTACATCTTCGGAATATCCTAAGATAAAATTAGATTTCAAAGGTCCATATTGATCTAATACTTGTATAAATATGGCTGTACTTCATATTGTTAACATATCTCGCTTTTCTCTACTTCAACTGTGAGAAACCCCCTCTTGAATTTAGGTTCACAGAGACCACCTGTCTCTTCGATCTAAAACCCATACTGAATAATCTGTATCCAGATAATCGAAGATTTGTGAAACTTTATTATTGTTCACTCTCGATTGTTAACGAATAGAAGATACAATTTAACAAGTTTGAGCTGAAGACACATGAAGCTTTAAATGTTATGTGGAGTACATTTCACCGTTATTAAATAAAATGCCCAATCAAGGTGGATGCGAAGATTGCGAGATCGACCGAAAATATTCTAATGATGTTGAAACATCATATTTGATATGATCTTATCGGTTGATCAAAACCTGAGGTGGGCCAAAGACAATCACTTATGATGTTGGGTGTGAAAGAGGAGGGAGTGTACCTGCAAGACACTCTGATGCTAAAGTAAGAAAGCGAGCAAGAGTGAGAGCAAATACAAAATATGAGTATTTTAGGGTGAATATTTGATACTTGACCCTCTCAAGTGAGAGGGTTTATATAATGCCCCCAGCGCTTGGCCATTGGTCCCTATTTTCGGGACGAGATAACCGTTACCCGATGAATAGGTAACTGCCAGAACTAGCTGTTGGAACGGGCAGACGTGCCCATAACTAACTGTTGCTACGGACACAGGCGTCTTGGCTGTTTCTAGATGGTGGGACCACGCGTGACGGACAAAGACTGACGATGAGAAATATTGTGATCAATGGTAAATTGGTCGACCTCCCCTGTCGAAGGGCAGAAAGGTAAATTCTCCCCGAGTGGTTGCACTTACCCATTGAGTCAGTCCAGAACAAAATACATTGTTAGATTTATGTTAACAATTATCTATATAATGTTATATTTATAATTGATGATATTTTATATTACATTTTTTTTCATATGTTTTTAATTTTTTTAAGAATAATAATTTTTGGAATCACACTTTCAATTTTTTAATTTTTTTTAAGTTTTGGGAAGTCTAAAAATGTATTTTCGCATGTGAGGGATATTATAGTTTCCGGGAAGGTGCAGAATACCCTTAAAGAAGAGAAGAGTAATTCTCTAAATTGAACCATGTGTTATATTTGAAGTTCCAAAATTTATAATAATATTTCTTTATTTAATAAATTGAACCACTATATTAAATTACATTAAAATTTAAAAACAATTACTTGAGTCAATATTTTTAGATACATTAAAAAACAGGCACGTTAAAAAATAGGCAAGCAAAAACATGAGAATAGGCACGTTAAAAATGTTTTTTTTTGTCCAAGCAAACAAAATTATATTAATTAAATGGCAGTCAAAAAGAATATAATGTAGTAGTTAGAAAATTAAACTAAAAATATCTTCCTAGTAAGTCAAAGAGAAATTTGAAGGATACTGACTAAGATCAAATACCGTTAAAAAAAATTATTTTAATGTACGTTTTACTTAAAATTATTAAATAGTATAAAATATTAAACTTATTTAAAAAATCTAAATATCAAAATTAAAAAAAAAAAGAAAAAGAAAAAAAATGAATGAGAAGAGCAAGCACAAATCTCCTGAAAATGGAAATTTTTTGGTACCCATAAATTTCCCGACTTCTGGACATTTGAAGAGACAACAGTCCTCTTTTTTTTTTTCTTTCCCCTCTCAGACACTCCTTTCAATTCACGCCTCTTCTTACCTTATGCAAATATATATGAGAAAATAAATATACAAAAAAAATAGACAGCAACAGTATTAGTTAGTATCTGTCACATTGGACGCGACCCGAAAAAAATAATCCATCAAAACAATGATCTCCGTTACTGACGCTCTTCAAACGGTTCTTAACGCCGCTAAGCGTCTTCCCCCAATTTCCGTTTCACTTCACGACGCCCTTGGCAAGGTCTTAGCACAAGACGTTCGCGCTCCTGATCCTTTACCTCCTTACCCCGCTTCCACCAAGGTTTTACAAAACCCTCACTCATTTCCTCTATTTTTATATATTTCTCACTTAACTAACATAAATAAATAACCGGGTTCGGGCTTGGGCTTGGGCTTGGGCTTTTAGGACGGTTATGCGGTTATAGCTGCAGACGGGCCCGGTGAATACCCGGTGATTGCTGAATCAAGAGCTGGTGACGATGCGTTTGGTGTTACCGTCGTTCCCGGAACTGTCGCTTACGTAACTACCGGAGGTGTTTAGTTTAGTTTATTCTTCAGATTCAGTTTTAATTTCCATTATTGAAGTGAAATTGGTTGCGATTTGAAGTTTGTTAAGCTAGGTTTAATAATAGTTGTGATTGTGATTGTGATTGCGTGTTGGTTCAGGACCTATACCTGATGGTGCTGATGCGGTTGTTCAGGTTGAAGATACTGAAAAAGTCAACAATACTTCAGATGAGGTTGAAAGGGTCAGAATATTGGTGAAAACTATACAAGGCAATGATATACGCCCGGTGGTGTGTATTTGTTTCTTATCACTTCGAAAGAGTAGTTTAATGCTCTTCATAATATTGAGTTTATAAGTTATGAACCATATATAAGGACACCAGATACGTGTAACTCGTGTTAGTATCATCACACCACATGCCACACCAATAATAATGTATTAACACATGTTTGTGTCATGTTAGTTCTTAGTATTATCACGACTGACACACCTTCAATCACAAGTGTCGAGGGCTTCTTGCATTGTAGTATAAGTATATCTACATATCAGTACATTGTTTTGGATGCTCAGTATAATAATATACTTGGCGTACACACTAATCCCTAACACTATACCCTAAAAACTACTATACACCCAACATTTTATGATTTAGGGTTTAGGGTTTAGAATTTAGGGAAATGTACTGTCTCTATAATCAAGTGTGACTATTAATGGTGGTTCATTCTTCCTTAATGGAATGTTCTCTTTTATGTGTATTATAAAATTGTTGATACTTTGATGATTTGGTGGTCTATAATTTTGTGGTTCATCCAAAAAGTATTCATTGACAGGGAGTTGATATACAAAAAGATGAAGTGGTCTTAACATCTGGAGAAATATTAGGTGCTTCTGAGATTGGCTTGCTTGCTACAGTTGGTGTGACAACAGTAAAGGTATTTTGTTGAGAGTTTCTTGAATCTATATATAATCTAGCCTCTTCCATGATGGAGAAGTTGGGTTCTACTTAGTTCCTCGCACAGAGGCACATACGTGTACTCTTTTATATTTATGTTTGAAATTTTTTATTAATGCAGGTGTATCCTACTCCAATTGTTGCTGTTCTTTCTACCGGCGATGAGCTTGTAGAGCCATCTACTGGGCATCTGGGTCGTGGCCAGGTATTGTTATGGAAGACTAGCACATGTCAGATGAGTTTGTTAAATTTTTGTGAAGATGCGTAGCAGAAACAATGATGTTATAGTTATTATGAATTTGGATACGAATTTGTTACTATGTGTATATGTATGTGTTGTTCAAAATTTGTTGTACAACATTTTACTTATTTTACCATGTTACTCAATCAACTAACAATTTGTTGGCTATATGTTTGAATTTTGGATGTAGTTTATTGGATTTATTTGGTAAATGTAATTGAAACGAACATAAGCTAATATATAGATCTTATGCAGATTAGGGACTCTAATCGTGCCATGCTTCTGGCAGCCGCAGTACTACATCAGTGCAAAGTTGTGGACCTTGGTATTGCTAAGGATGATGAAGATTGCCAGGGAAGGATCTTGGATAAGGCTTTTGCTTCTGGAATTGACATTCTCATAACTTCAGGAGGTGTTTCGATGGGAGACAAAGATTTTATTAGGCCTTTGCTTGAAAATCGAGGAAAAGTTCATTTCGATAAGGTTATGCCATGATTTTATTTGATTCTTATCGGTTATTCTTGCGATCCTGTAATCTGGTCTGGTTGTGCAAAGTGTATGTTGTATTTATGCAGTTGTAGAAATAGTGAAATTTTGTCTAATGCTTTGGTGGGTGTGATTTTATAAATCATGTTATCTTAACTCAAGATTATCTCTCTTTCAGGTGTGTATTAAACCAGGCAAGCCATTTACTTTTGCAGAGATTGGTTCTCAATCAACAGAAAGTAAAATTCTAGCTTTTGGGCTACCGGGAAATCCCGTCAGCTCTTCAGTATGCTTTCATCTTTTTGTGGTCCCTGCTATACGCCATCTCGCTGGGTGGACTAATCCTCATCGTCTGAGGTTACATAAACTTCTAAAGGACACTTCTTGTTGAGATGTAATACTTGCTTTCTCTAGGATTTCATTCATTCATTTCTGTGCAGGGTGCAAGCTCGGCTTCAACAGCCCATAAAGACAGATCAATTTAGACCAGAATATCATCGCGCCACTGTTATATGGACTCACAATGATGGAACAGGCAGCCCTGGGTAAGTTAATGATGAATTGCATTTTTTGAGGTTTTAGTCAGAAAAATATATGTAGATATTTTTTCTTTATGGCACGCGTTTTCTTGGGGGGTGTATTTACTTGTTTTCCAGAGGCGTAATTGCTATGACTATATTTGACCGGGTTTCATTGACGAACGAGCTTTATTTGTTGCCATTGAATTTCAGTTTTATTGCCGAAAGCACTGGTCATCAGAGGAGTAGTCGACTACTTAGCATGAAGTCAGCTAATGCCTTGTTGGAGTTTCCAGCAACAGGCCGTGTTGTATCTGCTGGGACCTCAGTGGCAGCTATCATAATTTCCAACCTAAAACCTGTGAGTTTTGGCAAGAATCATACATCATCAGACCCAACCTCAGCTTTGCCAGGAATTAAACCAGATAAAGTAACTACAGATTCTTCTGGGGGTGTTGACCTCAGAGTGGCTATTCTTACAGTAAGTGACACAGTTGCTGCAGGGGCTGGCCCAGATCGAAGGTATTGTTGACTTTCATTTTATATTTTATCATCTGGGTTTGCGCAAACAAAGAAACATGCACAGTGAGGAAGATCAGGACTAAGCATGTTTGTAACCCATTTGGATTTCATTGTTAAACAATCTGAGAGCATTAATTTATTTTTATAGTTTGCAACCAATTTTATGAGGAATATTTAAAAGCTAAAGCACTAGTTTTTGAACTTCCACATGAAGCAAATTCTAGGTGCTTCTAATTCACTGGACATCTTTTTTTTTTATGAAACAAACTGGTAGATTACATGATTTAAAAAAATGTTAACGAGCTATTAGCATATTCAACATATTTGTTCTTGTCTTACAAGGCTAGCTATGAGTTTTTGTTGTTACTTGTTACTTGTTAATTGGGTGCATCTAGTGTACTCCTTCAAATCAAAGAAAACATTTCTGTGCATGCTAGAGGATTGAAGCAACACATTGTTTGTTCTTAATAAGGCTAGATCTGGTATTGTCATATTTGTTAAATCATCTTCTTCCCATTTGGATAAGGCTGAATGACATCTAAATACACCTCTTTTAATCATTATTTGAAAGAGGCCACAAAGTTGATGTCAAACTGAAGAGCAAACTTGATATTAGTCAATGCCAAAAGGGGCATTGGATGTACTGAGTGTTCTGCAACAGTCTTGAAGTTTGAGCTTTATAAGATAAGAATTTCTGTTTAGTTTCTTCTGTTTTAGGCTGGGATCTATTTTCTTTAGAAATCAGCTAGCCTTATTTACATGGTATCAGCTTAGGTTTCATATTATTGAGTTTCTACTTATCTTATGTATTACACTTGAGGTTTGTCAGTGTTTTATGCATGTAACAGGACTGTACTTTCCTCTTGCATCTTGTTTATTCTTCATTTTCTCTCTTTTTTAAACTGCCTGTTTGCCCATTATTGCTTTGCAAGTTGCCCATTATTAAAGTCTTTTACCAAAATTTACACATATCATCATGGAAGAAAGGGCAAACTTGATCACAACAACAACAACTACCAAGCCTTATCCTACTAGGTCGGGTTGCAAATTTGATAACAGTAAGAAAAAAAATGCTTCACCGAGCTAGTTGCTATACACCCCAGAATCAGTCTCTTAGTCATCATAGGGTTAGGTATTCTTTCTTTTAATTTTCTATTTGGGCACGATATTAGATTTCAAACTCGTAACCTTTTCTGCTGGAACTTTTGGTTACAAGTTGATTCGTTAGGAAAAAAATTATGCTATCAAGCTCTTGGAGCTCAAGGATGATGGCCCGTGGTCTTCATTTGTGAATTTTTGGCATTTATTAAGGTGCATTTATTCTCAATAAAGCTAGATCTGGATATGATATCTCATAGCGTTTGTATGCTATTGAAAAAGTTATATCATCTGGTGTTGTCATAATTGATAAGTCATTTTCCCAGTTGGATAAGGCTGAATGGCATCTAGATACACCTCTTTTAATCATTATTTGAAAGAGGTCACAAAGTTGATGCCAAAGTAAATAGCAAACTTTATATTAGACAATGCCAAAAGGGGCATTGGATATATCGAGTGTTCTGCAACAGTCTTGAAGTTGGAGCTTTAGAAGATACAATTTCTGTTTAGTTTCTTCTGTTTTTGGTGTGAAACTATTGACTTTTGAAATCAGCCTTGTCTACTTGGTGTCATCAGCTTAGGCTTCATATTATTGAATTTTCACTTATCTTATGTTTAACACTTGAGGTTTATTGGTGTTTCATTCATGTATTAATAGGACTGTACTTTCTTTTTAAATTTTATTTATTCTTCATTCTCTCTCTTTCTTAAACTGCTTGTTTTCCCATTATTGATTTGCAAGTTGTTTTCAGGGGTGTAAAGTCTTTTACCAAAATTTACACATGTTATCATAAAAGGAATAGTAAATTCAATCACAATAAGAAAAAATGTTTCACTGAGCAAGTGGTTCTATCCCCCAGAAACAGTCTCTCAGTCATCCTGGGGTTAGGTGTTCTTTTAATTTTCTATTTGGGCATGTTACTAAATTTCAAAGTTGTAAGCCTTTTTGTTAGAAATCTTGGTTTCAAGTTGAGTCGTTAAGAAAAAAATTATGCAAGCAAACTCTTAGAGCTCAAGGATGATGGCCTGTGGTCTTTATTTTACGAATTTTATGCATTTATTAAAGTGAAATTCCTCTGAAGAATTCCCCAAACCTAAGTTATCGGAAATGGAATGGAATAAACAGATGACTTGAGGTTTATTAGTAGTATTTTTGTTTTCAGTGACATAATGATGATAGTTATTTTGATTGGAGTTATCTGATTACGTAAGAACGAGTTTTTCAAAGTAAAAAATGTCATGATGCTTGTTTGCCAACGTTTTAAAATCCTAACTGAATATCAAACTAGCAAGATCTCTATGTCATGGGTTTGATTAGTTCAACTAGTTATAATTTGGGTCAAACCATAGCTGAGGCAGACAATATAATTTGGAGTAGTTGAGCAAGATACACAAATGGTTCATGTTTTGATTGGTGCAACCGAACAGCTCAAGCTTGTTTTTGAATAGTTGGTATTAACACCAAAGTTTGCTGACTCCTTTACAATTTAACAGTGGTCCTAGGGCAGTTTCTGTTGTTAATTCCTCTTCAGAAAGGCTAGGAGGTGCCCGGGTTGTAGCAACTTCTGTTGTTCCAGATAATGTGGCAAAAATTCAGGACATTCTTAGAAGATGGAGCGATGATGAACAAATGGATCTTATAATTACTTTAGGTACATTTCTATGTAACCTATCAGTTTTCCTAAAGAGTAAAACTTGTAGTCGTGTTGAGTTGACTTCCATTGTTTTTGTCTTTGTAAATCAAGGTGGGACTGGCTTTACCTCACGAGATGTAACACCGGAAGCTACAAAAGAGTTGATTGAAAAAGAAACACCTGGTCTTTTGTATGTAATGATGCAAGAGAGTTTAAAGGTATGAGCAGCTATGCTTATGTTAGTCACCTTAGAAATAATAATTATATAGTTGTAGTATGGTGTGGTTTCTCATATTCTTACTTTCAGAATTTTTCATGTTTTTATTTTCGAAATTAATGTTCAAAGAACTCTACTAAACTGATTAGTTGTGCTGGTCAGCTGGCTATCAATTTTTATCATTATGTCTATATGTGACTTTAAAAAAGGAGCCTGGAAATTTAGAGTAATGCTACTTTTGCGAACTGTTATTTGCAACTCCTTGCGATTGGATGTGAAGTGATAACTAAAACACATTCATTTAATGATAAGTAAAAAATGATTTAAGACCCGTTTGTTTCACTTTTTTTTAAAATGATTTTTATAGCGTTACATATTTTTGTTTTACAAAAAATTACAAAGAAATATTGAAAAAAAGCTTCAATTGAAAAATTTGTTTAAATAGTTTTCCTTAAATGCTATTTTAGGTATTTCATCATTTTAATATAACTTTTTTTTGCATATCAAAATTTCAAAAAATCGCTCAAATTTGACCCTATTTTGAATCTTTTCATAAAAATTATTTTTGAGACACATCTTTATGAAGAATTATGTGATTTTGACTATGTTTTAATCTTCAATAATGTATATTTATGTTATTGGATATCAAAATTAATCTTTTAATTTATAAAAATGAGTTTATAAAAACTTTTAGTATTTAATTTTTTTTATAAATCATTTTTAAAACTACAAATAAAAACTTATTTTTCTAAATATAAGACAAAAGGCCCTTAGTCAGGAGCTTTTTTATAAAAGTTTATGCAAGTAGAATTATTCATATTTATGTTATGTTCAAAGGAAGATCAGCCTTTTATTTTCTTTATTTGATCTTCAGTCTTTTGGATTGTTGCAATTTTATGTGTGCTTAAGCCTCATTGTGTTGATATGACATGCATTCTCTGTCCTGCTTCTCAGATAAGTTTGGAATTGGTATTTGCTGATCTTTGAATGCTATGACAGATTTGATACTGTTTCCTGTGATATATAATTCTCTCGTGTCTCGGCATAAATAGGTGACTCCCTCGGCAATGCTTTCACGCTCTGCAGCTGGAATCAGAGGATCCACCTTGGTAAGGCAAAAAAAACAACAACAAACACATTCTATATCTACTTTGATAGTATAATGAACGGAACCTGCGCTTTGGCTCTCAACAAAGTTTTCCCATCAGTTTGTTGATACATTTGTGATTGCTTTGTGACTAAGTTGTGGTCTTTGATATGTCGATATTCAGATCATTAACATGCCGGGAAACCCGAATGCTGTTGCTGAATGTATGGAGGCTTTATTGCCAGCACTTAAGCACGGTCTTAAGCAGCTCAGGGGAGACAAGAGAGAGAAACATCCTCGTCACATTCCTCACGCCAATGCAGTTCCTACTGATATTTGGGAACAGAGTTATTTGTCAGCCACTGGTGGTGGGGGCTCTGAGGTTTCTTGTTCCTGTTGTAAGTAAATTTGATTATATTTTCTCGTTTGCTTCCCCTTTTTGCCCCCAAGTATCCTTAGAGTGAATCGACTATGTTTACTATCTGATGGTGAGTGGAATTGATGAGATGACATCAACAAAATGTGATAAAATTACCTTATTGTTATTTGAATATTTAATATTGTAATAAATGGATGGAATAAAAGAGAATATAGATGTTTGTTTATGAAATATAGAATATATCTACATGACAATTGAACTGAAATACAGTTGGCAGAGTCTGAACTATATGTGAAATTTTATTCTTTTATTGGATATATGCATTTAAACACAAATGAAAATGAAAAATAATATAATGCAATGTTCACAAATATTACTACATCAATAAGGAAATAGTAGCATGTCTTTGAAGTTAAATTCTCCCTCAAATGATCCAAATGTATTTCTAAAATAAAGCCCAAGTCCCACAACCAATAAGATTAGCATGACCCAAGCGACTATTTTCTTCCACTTCTTAAGACTTCTGGTTGAATCTCCAAGGGCTTCATTTTCATTTTCATTTTCATCCTGATTAGCCTTAGGGAGAGTGAAATCTACAAGCCTGGTTTTGGATCTTGCAACAAACTTTGCATCTTTGGTTTTAGGAACTTTAGAGGTTACTGTATCTGTTTTTTCAGTTGATCCATTAGTTTTCACTTTCTCAGCCACTTTGTCCATGCTAGCTTCTGTTTCTGTTTTGCTCTTTTCAGTTATTGAATCCTTCTCCTTGTGTGTTGGTGTGTTTTGATCAGAGACTTCATTAGTCTTTGTTTCTGCTTTCTCTTCTTTAGCTTTTGGGGTGCTCTCTTGAGTGCCCTCTTGCTCATCAGTCTTCTGTGATGGTTCCTTTGGCTCTGGAGCTTCTTCTGGTGGGTTTGTTGCTGTTTCATTTGTTTCTTTTTTCTCTTCTTTAGCTTTTGCAGCACCCTCTTGAGGACCCTTTTGCTCATCAATCTTTTGTGACGGTACTTCTGGTGTTGGATTATCTTCTGTTGGATTTTTTGTTTCCTCAGGCTTAGTAAGTTTGGCAAATTTGACAGTTAATAGGCCACCCTCAAATGTTGCAGTTACACTGTCTGTGTCATAATCAGAAGGAACAGGAAATTCTAATTTAAAACGACGCCATCTATTCTGAAAGCCCGGTCGTTCGCCCATCAGCCTTAGGGCAGGTTTTGAGGTCACTTGAACCTTTATTTGATCCTTTCTAAATCCTGCATGTTAAAAATTTGGAAGTATATGAAATATATTTTTTCGATGAAAATTTTATGCACCTGCAAATTAATAAAAAACAAATAGTTTTTATGTGAGGAAAATAGTTTTCCTGTGTTTTATTGTGACCTTGTTTTAGTAAGCAATTCGTAGTATTTAGGATAAAATTGTTATTAGTATACTTTATTAGTATAAAGATATAGCAATGAAATTTTCCAAGATTTTCCTTTTGAAAACTTGAAAGTGTATACCTGGTAGCAAAACAGTGAAACGCCCATCATCCCATTTATGAGATGGTTCAAAGTCTTCATAGACACGATCAGCTTCTGCCTGTCTAATTGTATCCATTATTTCTTGTTTGCTTTTATGTATCTTTGCCTCTGAGTAATTGAATTGGTCATGGCATGATGTTCCTTTTATACTCATTGAATTTATGAGAAACGTATTTAGCATAATCTGTTTATTTAGTTTATTACTTTCTTTTCGTGCAAACATTATGTCATTTCTGTTTATGACTTTTGTCTGTCTGGTGGAACAAGAAAAATAATATGCTTTAGCAACAAATGAGGTGACCTCGAATATTGGTAATACTAAAACCTAAAACTATTTTTTTGTTCTTACTGCTATTCTTTTTCCCGGCAAACTAGTGTAAAGGATTTGCCTTCAGCTCAACACACTTGCGTGTTTTCATTTTCACTTCTTAAATAATTTTTAGTGTTGTATATTTTTTTTGTTTAAAAAAAATTTACAAAATTCTTTGAAAGAGATTTCAAATGAAAAATTGGTTTAAATAATTATTTTGAAAATATTATTTTAGATATTTTATTATTTTTTTGCTATAATATTTTTTGGATATTAAAATTTTAAAAAATTACTTAAAATTGAAATTATTTTAAAGATATATCTTTTAAAAATATTGTGATTTTGACGGTTTAAATCATCAATAATATGTATTTATATTATAGGATATCAAAATTAATATTTTAATTTATAAAAACGAATTTAAATTTTTTTGATATATTAAAAAATATTTTTATAAAAATTAATTTTGATAATACAATTTTTAATTTTTTTTATAACTAAAATGAACAATTTTTAATGTTTTCCTAATGTGTTTCTCTGAAACAATTTATGATTAGTTAATATACTTGTGTATTTATTTTAATAGCATATAAAATCTATATTGTTTTTGAGCAAGTTGATTTTTTAAAATGTTATTTTAATATAAATTGATTAAAATTTTTAAAATATCAACCTGATTGAACGAAATCAAATGAATTTCATCTTCATTGGCTATGTTAAAATTTTGTAAGGAAAGATTATAAAAAATATTTTTTACTCTAAAATAAGTCTAAAACTGTTTTTCTCCTTTCCAATGGGTGAATTTATTGCATTTTATTCGAAGTAATGGGAGAACTTATGTAGAATATAGTTAGAATTACTACGGTAAGCATAAAATTCATCTTGCAGTTTTGATAAATAAAAAGATGTTGATGACATTAAAAAAAAATATTAAGGCACCAAATTACACCTATCTAAATCTAAAGTCAAACAACAACTAAATTTTATTCCACTAAATTAATTCCATTACATATTAATTCTTGCTATAATATTATAAGTAGTATAATGCTTCTATCAAAATCATTAATTTTGATCTTCATAATTTTACTTATATATATTTTTAGGTTTTCTTCTGTCTCTAATCTTTATTTTTTCTTCATCTAATCTACTTTTCTTATCACAAAATCAATAGACATTTTCTCTACATGCAAAATCACGTAAATTTATTTTGCATCATCTTTTATATCATAGGCGTCACTCCTATATTATCTTTAATATTATCATTTCTAATCTTATCATATCTAATCTTATCAAATATCTAATTTAATATCTTCATCTCTCCTATACTTACTTTATTCTCGTGTTGACTCTTAACCGTCCAAGATTCTGTCCTGTATAACATTGCATGTCTTATTGCAATTCAATAAAATTTCTCCATCAACATAAACGGTATTTTTGTGTCACATAAAACTCATGAAATCCTCATTCATTTCAATCACTCAACTTGAATTTGATTGTTTACACCTCTTTTTAGTTCTCCATTGTTTTATATTACAGACTTAAGATATTTAAACTTTGTGATGTGTAGGATGATTTGGTCTCAAACTTTCACCTCTAGGTTAGAAATGCTTATCCTTTTATTGAACTTACATTCCATATACTTCAACTTACTTCCATTTAGGCGAAAATAATGTGTTTCTAAAGCTTATTTTCAAGTCTCTAGTCTCTCATTTAAATTATCATTCGACTCTATAAGTAAAACTATATCATTTGTGTAAATCATGCATCTTAGTGCTATCTCTTGGATGTGTTATGTGAGTTTATCCAAAATTAAAGTAAAAATGTAGAGACTTAGGGTTGAACCTTGATGTAAATCTATTATAATGGAAAACTGTCTATCAGTCTTTCCACCTTATGTCTGCACACTAATTGATACCCTTCATACATATATTGAATAACTCGAATATATGCATTCTTAACTCCTTTCTTCTCTAGGAATTTTCACAAAATCTCTTTAGACACTATAATACGACTTCTTCAAGTTAATAAAAATTAAGTGCAAGTTTTGTCGATCCATCCGATACTTTTCCATCACATGTCGTAGTAGATTGATTGTTTTCATAGTCGATTTTCCAAACGTAAAACCAAATTGATTCTTAGTGACTTGAGTCACTTTTTTTATTTTCTTTTCAATCACTCTTTCCCGTAACTTCACAATATAATTCATAATTTTGATTCCTTTATAACTTGCACAATTTTATATATCCTTCTTGTTTTTATAGATTAGAACTTAAGTTCTTCTTTTCCATTGATCTGATATTGATTTTGACCTCATAATTTGTTAAAGAGTTTAATAAATCACTCAATATCTCTATCTCAATCTAAAGGCATTGAAGTAAAACTAAAGCTATACGTTTACATGCAATTTATTTTGGGAAGTACAAATATAGAAGAATTTTTATGTATTTTTTTTAATTTATCATTTTAAAAAATGAAAATGATCTTGATTCTTATGTGGAAATATCATTACTAAAAAAAGTTGTGACATGGATAAAGGGACCATATTTGTGATGTTCCAAAATCATTTAGGATAAATAAAAGTATCACACTTGATTCCTTGAAGGAAATAAATCATGATAAGATGATATCTAAACAATTTCAAAATGATGGTTGAAATTGATTATGGGTGTCATTATATTCAATGGGCATGAACATGTTCAATATGAGATCCCAAACTTGAAGAAGATTATGTAAATGATGTTCTTTGTCTACAACCATTTTGAGTTAAACATTGTGTTAATAAGATTCAATAACAAGACTAGCATCAACTTGAGAATAAGCTATAATCTACCTCAACTTGACCTATCAATCACAATCTTCCTTTTCATTTTCACATTTGCATCAATCCAATACTTTGTTTTATCAATATTTTATGATAGTCTCCGACTTTATATAACGATGATTACTTTAGTCTTTAGTCTAGGAATTACGATAAGTTTTACAATACTTAAACAATTAATACATGTTTTTGGTAAATAAATATTAAATAGTACAAGAGTATTGAAGTATTATAGATTTGATCACATTTCGCAGATGATATATAAATAATTAAACTCATTATTTTATTCTTTTACTGAGTTTATTTATGCATTTACAAGAAGCAATATGCATATGGGATTAAAACTCTTTTGATTTTCCTTGAGATGATTTTGACTATGCCCAAAATGCATTTTTGACATATACTCCAAGCACCAAAACCAACAAGGTTGCCACAAACATGTTCATCAACATCTTTCCTTTCTTAGGCTTTGTGTCACCAAAACCAAAACCTAATTCATCAACATCCTTATCATCTTTTGATCTCAAACTTATATTAAAATCTAAAATTCTTGTTTTCAATCTTTGCGCCATCTTGCCTCGTCGCTTTCCCTGGCCTTGACCTTCATGAGTTTTAACAACTTCTTTCGTCTCCGAAGACTCATCATTAGTCTTAACATTCTTTTGATCATTCTCAACTCGTTCCTCTATCTTGTTATCTTCTTTTTCCTCTTCCTTTGGCGTCTCTCGCTGTTCATCAACCACTTGCGCTTGTGTTTGTGCCTTAGGTTCAGGACTATTTTGACGCGCCATTGACGCTTCTTCTTGTGGTTGATTCGTGATAGTTTCTTGTTCTTGAGGCTTATTTTCCGGGGTGATCAGCTTGGGAAACCTGACTGATAGCACTCCTCGTTCAAACTTGGCATTCACATCATTGGTGTCGCAATGTGGAGGAACCGGAAATTCTTTACCGAAACGATGCCATATATTCTCAATCCCTTGTCTTTCACAATTGATCCTTAGAACACCTTTTGAAGTCACTTGCACTCTCAATTGTTCCTTTGTGAATCCTATTATTTTTGTTGAAATTGAAAGATATAAACAAATACATATAGAAGAAAATGAGAAAGAGGTTAAACAAACATACCTGGCAGCATTAGGATAAGAGTGGAACTTGCTTCATCTTCAATCCATTCAAAATAAGGTTGCAAATCTTTGTAAACACGTTCAGGTGCTGATTGTGACTTTTGAATTTGTTCCATTCTTGTTGATATTATTTTGTATTTGAGACTTTTCTATTTATGTTTGAGAATGAAAGCTCTTGTAGTGTTGCTTTTATATGCATCAATTGGACACTATTATGCATTGTTCATGTGATTTTTTTATTAGTTTTTGTGATTTTATTACTTTCTTTTCGTGCAAACATTGTTTTTTTCTCTGTAGTCAAGTCTCTCATTCAAGAAAAATTATATGCTTTGGTAGCATTCAAGAGGCGACCTTGTGTTTTGGCAATGCTATGACCATAAAAGAATGGGATATTATTCATCATTGCAAAAGCTTTGTTATTGGACAAAGATAAGGATTTAAGAATTTATTAAATAAAATAAATATATTTAGAGTTTATACTAGATTAATGGTAGTAAAGCTTTTGGTAATATTAGGGTGTTTGCCTCTCAAATGATTTTTTTTTACTATTCTTACAAATTAGGTAATTTAAGTTAATTATTTGAGTATTCCAATTTATACATGTGGACACTTAATATTGTTATTTTAAGAAATGACTTAAATAGTCAATTAGTTTTTATAAATTGACGTGTTTTTATTTTATTTTTTCGTGTTTATATATTTTTTTCCGTACAAGCCTTCTTTGAATCTTGTTCACTAAGTTCCTCCAAACTGTTTGACTTACTGCTAGGATTGATCTTTACTTATAAGCTTAGAAATTTGGATGGAAGTCTTCCAATATCGCAACACGGAAAATTGAACGCTGCAGTAAAAAACTAATCATTCAAATTTAAATCGATGACTTTAGTTTTGGAAAGATAAACATACAGCCCAAAGACCAAATCAAAGCCACGCAATAATGCTTTTATACTCCAATGATTGTTCCACTAACCATCACACAACACTATAATATTATCGGTGAATTGTAACAACTCAAAATTTATCGGTGAATTGTAACAACTCAAAATGAATCTTATCAATGAAATGAAAACCTTGCAGCTATTCGAGAAATTTCCTTCAACAACCAACATAAATAAGAAAGGAGACGAGGGATTCCCTTGTATCAAATCTATTAAACCTGGAATTTCGATGTAAGTCTCCCGTTAACTAAAATGGACATTGAACTTGTGAAGACAAGATCTGCCATCCAATGAAGCCATTTCGAACCAAAATTGAACTTGTGAAGGCAAGTGCTTCCATCCTCTACAAATGTTTCTCAAAAAATTCCATGAAACACAATCGTAGACATTTTGGAAATCTACTTTCACCATCAAACACTCTTTCTTGTTTCTAGAAGCAAAATTCAAAACCTCATTAACCACCACCACTCCATCTTAAATGTGCCTCCTAGATAAGAACACATATTGGTGTTAGTTACCAAACCATCCATGACTTGCTAAAGTATAGAAGATAATAGTTTAGCTAAAATCCTATTAAGACTTGAGATCAAACAAATAGACCTAAAATCGCCTAGACTTTGAGGATTGACTTATTTCAAAATGAGAGTATGAATGAAGCGGTCACCGTCATAGGAAGGTTTAAATTAATAAAAAAAATATTTCATAAAATTCATCATATCTTGCTTGATGATTATCCAACAAGCTTTGAAGAATTCAGATTAAAACCGTCGGGTCTTGGTTTAAGTCAAATCATCTCTTTAACTTTTTTTTAAGTTAAAATTTATAAGAAAATCCGCTGTAAAAATCTGCAGATTTTGCCTAATGATTTTAATTTTTGGAACTAAAATTCAACGTAATTCAATATTTAAAGACTTTATTAAAAAGAAAAAATACATGAAAAAAACAAAAATATGCAAGCCTTATAAAATTTAAGAAGAATAATTGTAGGTGCAATTTTGATTAAAAAAAACAATAAAATGTAAGTAGACTTTTACTTATTTTAAATTAAGCAAATCTTTGAACATTCATTATTTTTTTAATCACTAAGTGGAATTCCTAAATTAGTACAAGAGTATTTTTTTTTGTTGAATATCTTTATTTTATTTTATTTTTCCACTTTTTAAAACATTTTTATTGGATATCTTTTTCTTTCACTTTTTCAACATTATTCAAAGTCTCTATCTAAGATGAAAATAATCACCACCCCGAATTTAAAAGTATGATGTTTCATGAGAAACTCTAACCTTATAATTTTTTTTAAGATTATATAAAATTTCTCATACGTAACTCTAAGTTTTTTAAGATCATATAAAATTTCTCATACCTAACTCTAAGTAAGATGAGTGAACTTCAAATTAAAAGATATTCTTGTAAAGTGGTTGTAAAATATAATTGATCAGATCAGAATGAATCGTCGTGACTTTTAACGTAGAGCAGTAATGATGATTGTAAAAGAGGAGATGCGTGTATCTGCAAAACACTCCAATGCTAAAGTAAATAACAGGGAGAGAAAGCAATCATAAAGTGTTTAGGTTTGTGTTAGAATGAATTATATCAATTGAATACCTGACCCTCTCAAATGAGAGGGTATTTATAAAAAAAACCCAGCGCGAGGCCAAGGTCTCCAATGTGGCCGAAGTATCTGGTCGACCAATGAAAGACTTCCAGGTGGAAGATCTAGCGCGTGATATTTGACTTGATCCAACTGTCCCCGTGAACTCCGGAGGGGTAGTTGGTCGCGTGAGCTGTCAAGGGCGTGAGAGGAAGGTCCCCAACGACTATAAGGCTCTAATGACTATATTGTGCCCAACGGCTAGATTGTGATAATATGTTTGTTAGGTATTGTCTAAAGCTTGGCTGGATTGAGCCTTTCCCAACTGTGGGCCACCTGCCAGTCTAGTCCAGAACAGGAGCCCCCCAAGTTGTTGTTCTTAGGTGAGGAGCAATGACTTTGAGTTACCCTCGCTAGTCGATCGATGGGCATGAGTTACGTCGCGGGGTCGCCTTTGAGACCGTTGTTTTTGAGAGAAAATCCTAGGGGACGTACCCTTCAAATGTCTATGACTAGTGTTGTCGACGATTGGTTATCCGTAACTTCAAAGGTTCTTTGGGATGTGAGGACATGCTCGTGGAAGGGACGTTTTATGTCGACCAGCCTTGCGCTTAAGGAAAGGAAATTTCTTGTCGATGAGGTTGTGCTCGGATAATATCCTGCGTGTCTTGTCGAGGAGGATGTGCCCGAGTGGAGGCGGAGGGAGCTTGTCTTGGGAAGTGCAAGGTTCAGCCTTGAGGATGCCAAATGAAAGATTTTCTTCTGACACATGACGACGCAATTAATTTTGTTAAGGCCTAGGGAATTCAGGCTACTTAGGCAATGATGGCTCCTGCCTTTTGCGCTTCTTCGTGCGAGAAAATGTTTATAAAAGGAAAATAAATTAATTCATTTTTATACTTCGCGCGAATTTCTTTCCCCAATATTCTTTTGCTCTGCAACTCGTGGTCTCTTGTCTCTCGTCAGAGTTCTTTCCGCCGCCGTCCATCTTCATCTCTAACTTTTAGATCCAGGTAATTCTTCATCTTCAACCCTTGAATGTTGGTCAGAATCTAGGGTAGTTTGTAGATTTGTGGAAATTAGGATGAATCTGACATGGATGATGCATGAACTTTTCGGTTGAAGTTCATGTGTTCTTCAATGAACACATGAATTTCTGAAAAATTCATGAAGATCATGAAGAACATATGAATCTGATGATGATTTTTAGGAATTATAGTAGAATAAGTCCATGGATTTTCCTAAGTTTAGCTTATGGTTGTAGTCGGGAATTAGGCCTTTCATCGTCGAGAATTTATTCTCGAGTACTTGATAAGTGTTAGTTACCAAGGAGACTCGTCCCCGTAGGAATTTTTCTTAGAGTCGCGGAGACTCGTCTCCGTTCTTCGAGGAGAAGCTTACATTATGTTCATGTTGTATTGACAAGGGCTCGAGTCGAGGACACATCCTCGTACTTATTCCTCGCCCTTTCACTTGATTTGCGGTGGAAGGATGAATTTGATCTCTGTCGTCGAATTCACTTTTGCTTCCTCTTCTTTTCAAGTAAAATGGATGACAGGAACGAGGAGATCGTTCCCGATGTAGGAGTTACTAATGACGAAATATTGGGGGAGCCCCTGACACTGAGAATGCTGAGGCCGCATAAACTGCTAAGGCTGAAGAGACTGTGCCGCCTGCTGAGTTTACTAATGTGAAGGTTGCTCATGGGGACCTTAGCTGGATCGCTCGAGAGTCTTTGGAGACGAAATCGACTTTCACCGAGGACGAAATTAGGTCCTTTAATCTTCTTGAAAATAGGGTAGAAGGTGAGCTTGCGAATTGGAAAGCGATTCGTCTAGAGGAGAACGATAGGATATGCTCGGTATATTCGGACAGAAGATTTCCCATGTATGAGTTCACTTTCAAAGAGGCGGGGTACCGCTTTCCTTTCTATGATTTTCAAGAGGGAATCTTCTGCCATCTCGCGTTGTCTCCCGCTCAACTTCATCCTAATATTCTGGCCTTCATACGAGCCTTTGAACTGGTGTTCCGATATTTAGAGATCGGGGCCACCGTGGAGCTCTTCTTTAGTATATTTCAACTTCAGAGGAGTACAACTGGTCAGAAGCAAAGCTGGGTGTTTTTGAAGCAGCAAAGCAGGCTGTTCTGGCCGTATTCAGAGTCTGTTTGAAATTTTAAGTTCAGGTTCTTGGTTGTGAAGCCTCTCTCGGAGGCAGCCAAAGACTCACTGGTCACCATGGAGGCTGTGGAAAAGGATGGTCGGGAGGTGATGAAATCAGTGTCAAAGTTTCCACTAGAGTGGTTTTCACCCATTTCAGATACATAACCGACTAGTTCCTCATAAAGTACGACCAGCTGAGTGTCGAGGATAAGAAATAATTTTGAGCGTTGACAGCGTTCATGGAGAGCTTTATCCCAATTGAAGTTGTGGACAAGGATAATAATCTGGTCTATGACAAGGATGGACAACCTGTTATGTCGACTCGTTACATAAACATGAAAGCTCTCTTTGATTATAAAACTAAGGATAATGCTAGGGGTGGCCAAATTCGGGTTTAATACTGTCGTGGAGCAGATAAAGGTTCTAAACTCCGACGTCCAGCTGGTCACCGATGAGATGAGTGTTTTGTACCATGTTTTTGATGGCCAGGTGGTCCCTCCTGAGATTCCAGTCAAGGATGCCTAGTTTCTTTTTGTGACTTAGTATTTTATTGGCATGCGTGCCATTTTGTTGTAATATTTTGATGGTTGGGCTAGACCCATGTTATATAATATTTAAACAATTGTCGTCCTAGTGGTCAGACTAATATTTAATTTCGACTTTGTATGTCTTTTGTGTATTTTATCCTCTTCGTAGATGTATGCTTTGTATATATGTTGATTTTCGCGAGTTGTGTTTGCTAAATATAGGAGTTTGCTCGATTTGTTATGATGCTCGACGATTTAAGGAACTTGTCGAGGAAGCGAAGTAGTTTCGCCAGTCGTGTGACTAGGATCTTGGTCGAGGTCCTGTCACACTTGTACGGCAACAGCGGAGTTCTATCGAAGTATCCCCATTGGGCACAAAATCTATTCATTCCATGAGCAAAAACTTGCCTTCGTTTTAAATTTAAGGATTATACTTGTTTTCATGGCGTGACTTGACATTTGAAAGGTGCTTGTCATCATCTATTGAATACTAATGCCTAAACGTAAGGTTAGTTTGAATATTTGCATGTATCGTAGTAGGATCGTTGCGGAGTCTTGCTATTTTATAACTGTTAGAACATAATGCTCTAAATTGATTAATAGACTAAGATATTGGCTATTAAGTAATTCGTTGAGTCAGGAACTATGGTGTTACAATGTCCTTCTTAGGAACGTATGAAACATTTTCAACCGCATCCCATATTTATTCTCCTTGTTCTTCTAGATACGCTTGCATGCAAATTTTCCAAAAGTCATAATGTTCACCGACGAAACAAGGAGGTTTTGTTGTTGTTGCCACCATCTCTAAAAATTGAATTAGCGGAAACCTTATTTCTGGTTTGAAGAGCAAGTTACCTTAATTTGTTCTGATGCAAAATGTAAGTATAGATTGCAACCTAAGAAAGGGTGAATCATGTTTTAAGACTTTTTCTTGTTTTTAAGAGATGATTTTTATGTTCTTATTTATTTGGAAATTTTTCGATGAAACTTATGAATCAAAATGCATAAAAATAAAATAAAAAATGTAAAGAACACACGTATGTATCCTAGTTCCTCTTTTCAACCAATGATACATCTAGTCCCTTATATCCTATGAGAGATTTTCCAATATGTTAGATATTTGTATAAGTCTTTCACCAAGAACTATCATGCAATTTTCTAAAGCAAACCAATACAAGAAAGCAACACCACTTTCTTTTACAACAAACACCATAACTATGGTGGACTTTGAATCTTCCTAAATCAAAAAACCTTTTACAACAATCACCAACAACTTGTGATGATCACACCAAACAATAATGGTGAACAAACAGTACATTCTTGTATAGAATTTTGAGTAATATTTGAGTTGGCTTGAATTCCAAGATAATCAAATTAATCTTCTCTTTCTCTTGATCACACTCCAAATATATATACTTAAGTTCTCAAAAGTAATTGAATGAAACTCTTTTTAAATGATATAAAAGTTATTCATAAAGTTTCATTGTAATGGATATATGAACACTTAAAAAAAACTTGTTTGAATTATATGAAAAATGATGTATAAAGAGGTAATTGAAAAACTGATGTATTTTGAGTTAAATATATCTCACTATGCTTTTTTAGTTTGATGCAATGTTTTGGAAAAGTTTCATGATCATTGAAAATTATTTGGAATCACCATGATTCATATTTTTCAAAATAGCATGATGTTTCATAAAAAAAATGTTCGAATTACAGGGGTTTCAAACTGCCTCAGTTTACGAACCAATATGTTGTATCAAAAAATAGTCGCGGTTTTGTTAAGAGAGATATAGTTGTTCTGTTATGAAAGAACGGACTTTTGCTTAAATATAAGTTATACTTTTCACCATAGTTGATAAAAACGACCGTAATTAAATGTAGGTACATTTCACAACGGTTGCTATTTTAGGCCGTGGTGAATGGTATTTTAATTTTAGTATAAATATTAAGATTATAAGTGACACGCCCATTTTTTAACAAAAAAAAAACGAAACGGTTGATGCTGGGATTCAGAGCCTGTAAGCCTTGACATATCACTACGGTTATTAATATGGATCATAGTTAAATGTATTTTAATAAAAGAAATAAAAACGCAGGGGCCTAGATAAGAGCTTTTACTTCGGTTAGCTTAATAGTAGAGGTAATGACATGTTACGTTAGGTGTATTTGTATAGTAGTGCAAGTATAAGGCTTGATTAGTTGCAAAAATATTTTTGCAAAGAGAATGCATGGTGAGTATATTTAAAGGGAAGTCAAAGGCATCACACTTAGCAGTAGTCAATAGAATTTTGAGATACGTCAAAAGTCAATTGGCTGCGAAATTCTATTTCCCGCAACAAATAAAGGTAGAAGTTGCAAATTGCTCGGATATATCAACCCAAAATGGCGTGGAGATAAATATTATAAGAAATTCATTGTTGGATACATTTTTATGTATGGAGAAACAATAATCTCTTAGTGTTATAAGAAGGAACCATTTGTGGCACTCTCTTCTTGCGTGGTCGAGTACATTGTTGCGTCTATGTGTGCGTGTCAAATTGTATGGTTGATGAATTTAATGAAGGAGTTATAACAAAGAGTATGAAGTTATGACTTTGATGATAGACGATGTTTACGCTATAAACTTTGCTAAGAATCTCATTCCACGTGGGAGAAAAAAGCATATAGAGATGAAATTTCACTACTTGAGAGAGTTTGTAAGTGAAGGAAAATTAAATTTAGGATATTGCAAAAGTGAAGACCAAACAGACAATTTTCTAACCAAATAAGCAATAATTAAAGTGTTCAAGAGGTTGAAGAAACACATGAGTATGGAAGACTTGGAGGAATTGAATTAAGGGGGCGTGTTGAGAAAGTAGTGTAATTTAATGTATTGCAACATGTTGCAGTAAATGTGCAACATGTTATATCATGTTCTGCAGTGCTAATTTACGTGGAAGAGACTTGGAGCAACTGATTGCTCCAAATGTGCAACAAGTTACATTTCTAGTAGTTTGCGTATTTTCGAAAATAGAGAGTTAGTGCAACTGGTTGCTCCAAATGTGAAGCTGGTTGCATATTTAAAAAGTTTGTTTTTCTTATTAGTTGGTTAGCTATATTATTTTGTATAATTGTATGAATATCCATGCTAGGTCATTAAGGTTACAATCTCATATTCTCACCTTAATTCTCTCATTATTTTCGTTTCTCTATTATTCACCATTCTTCTTGTGAGTAGGGTTTTACCCATATATATATATATATATATATATATATATATATATATATATATATATATATATATATATATATATATATATATATATATATATATATATATATATATATATATATATATATATATATATATATATATATATATATATATATATATATATATATATATATATATATATATATATATATATATATATATATATATATATATATATATATATATATATATATTGAATACCCAAAAATATAAGGTGTAGATTCACACACATTTTTTATTGAAATCCAGAATAATACAGTGTAGATTTATCAATAAAAATGCAATACAAAAATATGTTTGATGAAATGACACAAAGAAATTTGATTTTGTGATAAATTCAGAGACCAAAAAATGGTCACTAAAAGGTGATATTTCAATTGACATATATATTGGCATCTACATCAGCGTCACATAGTCTATCGACTTTGACCGACAAGTTAGATGGAAATAACTATGATACTTTTTGAAATATTTAGGGACCAAAAAAGTCTTTTTAAAAGTTATGTGATCAAACGAGACTTCGAGTTAAAGTTTGGGACGAAAAGGAGTGTCAAGTCTATTTTTTATGTTAACAATTTGAATTTACTGAGTTTTCTTTTATGTGAGGTAATGAAGCAGAAAAACACTTGTTTGATCCCGAAGTATAGAAAATAGTTAAAAAAAAGATAAATATAACATACTTTAAAAAACAAGTGTATGTATTCACCACGACCGCCACCAGCCACTTACACATGCTTTAGAAGATTTCAAAATAAGAGTAACTCGAGAGTAGATCATTCGTGAGATCCAGCCATCAAACCTCATTGCTTTTGAAGTTAAGAATTATGTCCACTTGAGCAAGTTCTATAAGACCTGTTCATTATGTTGTCCAATGGGAGTAGCGGAATATCAAATAAAGTTAAGATTGTTTATGTTGACACTCATACGAAAAACTAAAGATTGGCCGAATGTTTTGTCAAATGGTGTCATATGTATCTAGGAAGATCTAGAATAGTTTTTAGAAAGCTTATATCCAATTATCAAATTTGTAGACAAAATGGCCAATGTCACCAATGCAAATTGTCATAATGATGTATTAGTGCTTGATGGACTTCAAAATTTTGTTTTTTGCTAGGGCAAGATGGACTTGAAAAACAAAATCAAAATTAAGATCCTATGGTGAAAAGTAAGTAACATAAGAAATGACTTAAATGGAGACAATGTACCATAACATTTGTGGACCTCTTAGATCCAATGGTGGAAAAATGTAGTGCACCATACAACACATACTCCACTTATGTATATTAGAAGAACCCATACTTATAAACCTCAAACATTCTTTATTCTCTTGATAAACTTAAGAACTTGTTACACATAAATAGTTCTATAATTCTTGTACATATTTATTGAAAGTATATAACACAACTGAATTGTAATTAAGCAATTACAACTCTTGGTGCTTGTGACCTCCTGAAAAAAACGAGTTAATTACATTCTTAACATAGATACCAAACATCAAGACCAAAAACACAAGTAGCAACACATTCACCAATTTCTTTTGCTTCTTAACTTCATCCACCAAACCACACAATGCATTCACATATTCTTGTCTCTGTCTTGACACCATCTCCATAGTCACTGACCTTTTCTCGATTTTCTTATTCTCATCATCTCTTGATTCTTCTTCTTTATCCTTCTCGTTCTTTCGAGTCACTTCTTCAATATCTTTCTTTGGTTCATGTTGTTTTTTCTGATCAGAAACATGATCAGTCTTTGGTTTCTGAGGAATTGTTTGTTGTTGAGGCTTTTGAGGTTCTTGTTGTGTTGGTGTTGGAGCAATGTTTTGTTGGTTGATGAGTTTTGGAAGTTTAACATATAAGATTCCAGCTTCGAATTTGGCAGAAATTTTACCTGTATCAGAATGAGATGGTATAGAGACCTCTTTGCGAAATCGACGATATTTTTTCTCGTTGATTTGCTTTTCACCACTCACCCTTAACACTCTTGTTGAAGTTACTTGAACCCTCAATTGCTCCTTCTTAAATCCTGCATGTAATTAATGGATGAAAACTATAACCTATAAACTATATTACATGAAAAAAGCATGAGGAAGAGGAAAAAAATTAACCTGGAATCATAAGAATCACTGTGTCACTTGTATCATCATGATCCCAATCAAAAGGTGGTTCAAAGTCATCGTAGATACGATCTGCTTCGCGTGTTTTTTGATCCAAAGACATTTTCTCTCCTTAATTTGTTTCTCTTGTGTTCTTTTTTTCTAGCAAAGATAGCTTAATATTTCTATGAACTTGTTTGGGAATGAATGAAATGAAATATGGGGTTATGATAGTTATATATACACATTTTTGGGTTGTATTTTCTTCTAATTTGGTTCTTTCTTTTCTTGTAAAGATTGATTTATGTTTAGGACAATCTCAAGCTGGGTTTGCTTATGCAAGAAAGTGTCTCTCTAAAGAATACTTTACTTATTTGTTAGGTATTGTTGAGTCACGTTCCTTTCCCACATGCATGTAATAATATTTTGGTCAAGTTCTCTATTGTACAAAGTTAAGAATTAATTTCATATAGTTCCTTGGTCAGGGTTTTGCATTATTCTTTTTATTGAAATTTATTATTCAACTCACTATTACGTAAATATATCCAAATATAAATCACTTTATCTTCAACTCACTTTTAATCAAAGTCAATAAAAACTAGACTCGTTTGAACAAATTTTGTAGTCGTAGAACCAAACAGAAACTGAATGCAAAGAAAACAAGCATTGCGCGTCTAAATTAGCGTCACAACACATCAATTGTTTTCACAACAATTTAAAGTCATTCTATATTTGCAGTACAAATTGATTATAACACTTGATAAAAAGAAGAATAATCAAAATAGTTAATAGGAAGATTAGCTTAATAGATTCATCTCTAATAATTTTATATCTCTAAGTTGGATAAACAGTACAGAGGATAGTAACATTACAAGCCCTAACTTCTGATTCCATTTTGAGACAACAAGTCTAAAACTTTACCTCCTCTGTGCTTTCCTCCTTCTAGACTCTGTCTTTTGCCATTTTTTTCTAGTAACAAGTTTACTCTTTGGTTTCAATTTTAACTCGGGCGAGAATTTGTAATTCGGATCTCTCATTCTTGCTTGTATGTCTTTAAAAAATTGAAGATTCAGCTGTTTAGGCCCTCCTTGTCTAAGCTCTTCATACTCAGGTCCCGAAACAACGTTTTCAAATGCTCCAATTAGAATATCTAAATCACTCATAACTTCCCATGTATTAGTATACCTCCCATCTGGACCTTTCTTTAATTTCTTCAAAGCATTATCAACCGCGATCTTCCTGGCTTGCTTTCCCGGCGACAACTCCTCCGGTTCTTGTTCGGCTTTCAAAAGCTCAGAGATGGTTCTGTATTTCGGCATTTCATCAAACTCGAAAATCTTATCTATGTGCTTATCGCTTCTTTCATTTGGGTAAGCTTCTGTAGGAACATCATCATCACTGTCCATTTCATCTCCGGTCCACAGCGTCTTTTCCTCGTCACTACCAGACCAAACACTTCTTAACTCGTCACTGTCATCTGCATCAACCAGGTCTGCATGTTTCTTAGCTTCTTGTCTTGCTTTTCTAATATCTTTATGAAGACGGCTCTTTGAATCTTTGTCTCCATCGCTTTCATCCTCGCTTCCTGTCCATAGAGTGTTGTCTTCATCCATCTCTTTTGCCCATGTTTTCTTGAAGTCTTCATCCCCCGGTCTTCTACCACCAAAGAGATCATAGGGCTTCCGTGCACCACGAGCATACGATCTCAATGCTGCAAGTCAAATCCATTAGCTCGGAGGAACTCGCGCTAAATAACACATGTCAATATGTGGATGCATTTGAGTTCATCAGAAAAAATATATATAATGGGGTTTGTATAGTATTAGAACCGGGACTTTGTTCTCGCACAAATTCAATAAGGTATATAACAAATGAGTGGTTTTAATAATTACACTACCACAAGTTTAAAAAATTCCAACTAAAAGTTAACCTTGAAAATTCAGCAGAAAATCACTACTACAACAATTTCGTGGTACAATTGGACCTGAAACATAATATAGTGGCGACCTGAAAGAACAACAAAATGAAGCATTTCATGGTCATGGAAAATGATCTAAAACCAACATTTGAACAAGACAAAAATATCCAAACAGGCATCCAAGACAGAACTGATAACAATAATCTTAACCTTTGAGAGAGTGGTAGCCAATGTGGTTTTGCAACCCTTTTAAGAGATGAAAAGAGACTATGGTAAGGGAATGATCTCCATCCCATTAGAAGAACTAGGTGATCTGCCGTTAACCGTTTTTTCTTAGCCCTCAATCTTTTGCTACCCCTGAAGAGTATCCAATACAAACAAATTAAAAATAAATCCTAGGAAATCCGCGGTACACTATTTCGTTATCAAATTAAAATATTTAGTGCCATCTTTTGAGGCATGGTTGTATCGAAGGAAGAACCAGGAATTATTTACTTTGACATTTCATTCCATGGCAACTTCGAGGCAAATCATTCTTGTGAACTCAGTACAGTCATAGCCAACTACTTTTCTTTTGTTATTTGATTTATAACTTAAATCTTAAATTATTTTGAGGTTCTTACACAATGTATCGACTTATATTTCTTTCTACGTCACATGATTCATTTTTTTATTCATCATCTATCCAGTACTATATTCATAATAAGTTTCACTCACAAATAGATCTTCTAATCCACCGTTTGAATCTCAGTTTGATAACTATGCAAAAATCAAGTTTATCAAATCTGTTGATAATCATAACAATCTCATCACTTGATATGATGTAAGTTTAGTGAAAATTAATACTCTTGTATGTTCGGATTTAGGAATGATAATCTCTTTAGCTTCTCAAGTAATCATGAGAGACATTCCCAAGATCCTTTCCCAAGAGAAACTAGTGATAAGGAAAAAAAAGTGGCTAGAATGCTCTATAGTACTGACACCTCTAAAAAAAGACGTGTCTATGTCATTGTCGGTGTCACAAACCGACACTAATATATTTATGTTTTCAAATTATTATTAGTGTCAGTGTGTCGTGTTTTTGGTGCCAGCGCTTCATAAATGCAAAGTTAGAATGCTAAGAATTAAATAGGTTGAAGATTTCAAGGGATTGAAGTTCAAACCCTAGAACACTAACATGACATCTAAATGCCATGGTGTAACATAGCTTCACAAGCTAAATTGATGCAAACACTAATAATTGAACATTCAGGAAACTCTTGTGCAAATTTCTTTTTTCCTATGTTTTGTTTTAAAGCTAAGAAGTAATGACTCATATAAAATGATAACAATTTATGGAATATGAAACTTTTCTAACAATGAAAAAAAAGACTTGAGAAATCAAAATTCAGTAAAAATGGAGAAAAATAGATGAATAGAAATTACCTTGAATGATGAAAACGAACAGAGTACAGAGGAGGTGGCTGCAAAAACTAAAGTGGAGAGTAACGGCGGCGCGGTGAGGAGGTTATGATTTGGGAAGGAAGACGTAAATGCGGCTGAGAGAGGGAAAGGAACGCCGCGAATGAATTTCATGGTTTTTTTTTGTGGGACTAATTTTATGTTTCTCAACTTTTCGGAATTTTTTTATAAATTATAAAAATTAAAAGAAAAATGTCACAAGACTTTTGTATTCTAGTATAGAAGAGGTATATAATAGGGATTATGATTCAGTGCAGTTGCAAACTCTTGCGGTTATATGCAGTCAAGTGAATTTGTGAGAGTTGGCTGTCTTTAAAGAAAAATAGGGGTGCTCATTAATTCCGACAAATTCAAAATCTAAGCAAATCAATGTGATTGGGTCGAACCATTTTCAAACCAACTTCCATCCCACAACAGTTTTGCACACAAATATAAGTCAAATCCTTGATCCAACGTTAAGTGAATTTTCTCAATCAAACTATATATACAATTAACAACTATTTAACTCTTTTCAAGGTGAAAGAGGGGGATTGAGCATTTGATCTCCCTTCAGTTGTTTGGATGCGAGTTATCTTACTCGTGTGTGAGCAATTGACGTCTCTAAAATATTTCCAACTCGACAACGTTCAACCATCTTCCAACCGCTCATTACTCAAAATACCATTCGAACACAACTTCTTTTCAAGGCGAAAAAGAGAGAAAATCAAGTCTTTGACTCACTCTCTCGATTACTTGGGTCCGAGGAGACTTTCTTAAGCTTCGAGTAATCGTCATCCAACCTAACTTCAAACCAATTCAACCCCTCATCTTTTCATGGTCGTTACCACAAACTACGAACACTCTGATTCTTCATTCTACTCTGAATATAAGATACGTAGGCACAAGATTGCGATGATTTTGGCGAGCACAATTCCCTCCATCTTCCGTTTCTCCCATCCTTTCCTGTAGTCGAACTACGAGAGCTCTAATTTCTCATTCTCGTCCGAATGAGCATACGTAGGCACAAGGACCCCAATCCTTGGTGAACATCCTATCCTATGACCATTCATTTTTCATTCTCGTCCGAATGACCACCGTCTGATAAGAGATCATTTTTTAGATATTGTGTTCTCATAGAAAGAAATATGATTTCATGGAGAAGTAAGAAACAAAACGTAATTCCACTTTCTAGTGCTGAAGCTAAATATCGTGTTATGGCAACAATCTCAAAGAAGCTTGCATGACTTAAAATTTACTCTTAGTCCAAGTTTGGAGATCTTCATACCACAAAATTCATATGCGACAATCAAGCGACACTCCACATTACATCCAATCCATTTTTCCATGAATGAATCAAACACATAGAAATAGACTGTTATTATGACATATGATCCAACTTGAGGGGGAGTGTTAGGAATCAATCATCATCAATGTGCATCAATTAGAATCATTTGTATTTATTGTATTACCTTATTATACAACTCATACAAATATAAATATACCCTAGTATGGTCTCATTAGACACACAATTTTATACAGAAAATACTTTTTAAGTACATGTCATCTACTTGCATCTTAAAGAATACTCAAAAACGTTAAAGGAAATACATATCATGGTATACTCATGCCATATAAAAAAAACACTAAAAGAGAGGTTGAAGCGTATGACTACTCTGACTTAGATTGAGAAGAAGATCAAGATGACAGAAAAAGTAAAACATGGTACTTGTTTAAAATTGGAACTACTCCAATTTCAAGGAGCTAAAAAAACGGAATAACAACTCTATTATCTTGTGAGACAGAGTATGTTGCAGCCTCTTGTGCAACTTGTCAAACATTGTGGATGAAAATGTTGTTGAAAGAATTCAAGTTTAATGATATTGTGAAGATCAAGTTGTTAGTTAACAATAACTCAATAATTAATTTGACTAATCATCCAATGAATCACAGAAGGAGAAAACATATATAAATGATCATTTCCTAAGAGATCAAGTTAGCATGAATAGATTGAAGATTGAATATATCAAGACTGAGTTACAATTTGTAGATATTCTAACCAAATCATTTAATAGAGCAAGATTTGAAGATCTCAAAGGATTGATGAAAATTAGAAGGCTAATTGACCTGAATTAGTATGAGTATTGATATTGTAATTCAAATTTATCGATAGCTTGATTATATTGCATGTAAGTGACTTGCAACACAAGCAAACTCTCAAACAATTTTAAACTCTAATTTAATCAATTAGTTTAGTTTTCCCTCTATGTAAACTCTTGCCTATGGTTGTAAAATATTCCGATCATTAATACAAAACCTCTGTTCATTAACTAATGGTTCTCTAGTAAAAATTTTCATTGTACTTAATATTATGTATAAATTAAAGAACTTATAGCTGATAGACATAATTTTTATTTTGCCTTAATTAAAATTTGAGAACTATTAATAAATTATTCGACTATTTTAAGTTCGACAAAAGAAATAAAACCACGAGACAAAGGTTCCCATCTCCTATTTCATATAGTCTAAAATATATATATCTTATTATTTAAAGTACACATGCAAGGCACTGATAATTTATTTAACACATTAATTAAATCACTAAATAGAACTTTACAAATAGGATTAAACCTTTGAAGTTTGTCTGAAAATCAGTTAGTGAAGATGAGTGAGAATCAAACAAGTTTGACTTTTTGTGTCAATGGTGAAAAGTTTGAGCTATCCAACATTGATCCATCAATCACTTTGCTTGAGTTCTTGCGTACACAAACTCGATTCAAGAGTGTTAAACTCGGTTGTGGTGAAGGTATATTCAATTTTTTTTTCTGCTTGCTTTGGATTTTGAATCTCTTTGTGTTTAAGCAATTTTAGTACTGATTGTAACGAGTTCTTCTTTCTTTCTGTTTCAATAGAATTAATCACTGTATAATAGTACTTTTTATGATTCTGACAAATCCAAAGCAAAGATGTAATGTAAGAGCTTAAAGATATTGTTGGTTGCAGGTGGTTGTGGTGCTTGTGTAGTTTTGATCTCCAAATATGATGCTTTACTCGATAGAGTCGACGATTTTACTGCGAGCTCTTGTCTTACACTACTTTGTAGCATACATGGATGCTCAATAACAACAAGTGAAGGCATTGGAAATAGCAAACAAGGATTCCATCCTATTCATCAAAGATTTGCAGGTTTCCATGCTTCTCAATGTGGCTTCTGTACTCCCGGAATGTGTGTTTCACTCTTCGGCGCTCTTGTCAAGGCTGATAAGAACAATTCTCCAGAGCCACCAGCTGGTTTTTCAAAAATCAATGTTTCTGATGCTGAAAAGTCTATTGCAGGTAACCTTTGTCGATGCACTGGTTATCGACCGATTGCTGATGCCTGCAAAAGTTTTGCAGCTGATGTTGATATGGAAGATCTCGGTTTGAATGCTTTCTGGAGAAAAGGAGATAGCAAGGACTTGAAGCTTAGTAAGTTGCCTCTATATGATCGCGATCATGAGATTATCAAATTTCCTATGTTTCTGAAGGATATCAAACGCGATTTGTTTATAGCTTCTGAGAAGCAATGTTGGCACAAACCTACTAGTTTAAAAGAGCTTCAGAGGTTAATTGAGTTAAACCATGCCAATGAAACCAAGATAAAACTTGTTGTTAGTAATACTGGTATGGGATATTACAAAGATAAACATGGCTATGATAAGTATATTGATCTAAGTGGCATTTCTGAGCTCTCAAAGATCAGAAAGGATCAATCAGGGATTGAAATTGGAGCGGCAGTGACCATATCTAACGCTATTGAAGCTCTAAAGGTTCAAAGTAAGAGTGAGTTTCTTCCAGATTTTGTAATGACACTTGAAAAGATTGCAGACCATATGAACAAAGTTGCGACGAGGTTTATCAGGAATACAGCCAGTGTAGGTGGAAATTTAGTGATGGCGCAAAAGAATAAGTTTCCTTCGGATATCGCTACTATACTTCTTGCTGTGGATTCAATGGTTCACATAATGACTAATGCAAAGTTTGAATGGCTTGCATTGGAGGAGTTTTTGGAGAGACCGCCATTAGGTTTGGGAAGTGTGCTTTTAAGCATTAAAGTTCCATGTTTGGAAACTATTAAAACTGAATATTCGACACCAAGAAGTAGCTTCGTCTTTGAAACTTACCGAGCTTCACCTCGACCGCTTGGAAATGCACTTTCTTTTTTAAATGCTGCTTTCCTTGTTCAGGTGTCTCCGTGCAAGGATACTGATGGAACCATGATAGATACTTGTAGGTTGTCTTTTGGTGGTTTTAGGAATAAGCATGCAATCAGAGCTAAATCTGTAGAGGAGTTTTTAGCAGGAAAATTGTTAAGTGATAGAAACCTGTATGATGCTATTAATTTGCTTAAGGATTCTGCCACTGTTATACCTCAAGATGAAACCGCGAAAAGTGCTTACATTTCGAGTTTAGCAGTTGGTTTTCTTTTTCAGTTCTTTTACTCACTCAGTGACAGTTCTGCAAGAATATACAATGGTTATTTAAATGGATATACTCATTTGCCTTCAGTCAAGGCTTCTGATATAAAAGATAATCAGAATCAGGCTACTTTATTGTCGTCCGGGAAGCAAGTAATTGTAGCAGGCAGTGAGTATAGTCCGATTGGCGAGCCGGTCATGAAATCTGGTGCTGCGCTGCAAGCTTCAGGTTTGTTTAGAGTCAAGTTGAATTACATAATGGTAACAGTTTCCTTTACTTTGTATTTTGGTTGACATTTAAAAGTAATGAGCATAATTTTTATGCATATTTTGCTTAATTTGATTTTAAACAGACAACTTAATTTGAAGCCTATCAATTACTATTTTTCATGATTAATTGATCATACATAGGCGAGGCTGTGTTTGTGGATGATATGCCATCGCCGACGAATTGCCTACATGGAGCATATATTTATAGTGAGAAACCTTTGGCAAGGATATCAGGCATAAAACTCAGGCAAGAATTGGAACATGATGGAGTAAGAGACATCTTTTCAAGTAAGGATATCCCCAATGGTGGGGAGAACCTTGGAACAAAGAATGTATTTGGTAGAGAACCTTTATTTGCTGAAGAGATTGCTAGATGTGTCGGAGAACGTCTTGCATTCGTGGTAAGTTCTTAAATCCCTTATTTTGATCCCAAACGAACGGTTTTTTGTATATATTCGATCAAATAGACTATTACACAATTATAAGTATATGTTGTTTACAAAATTCTTTTCATTTATTTAAAGATTGATATGTGTAGTACTTCGATTTAATCTTCAAACGGCTTCCTTAGGTTGCAGATACTCAGAAACTTGCAGATCTGGCTGCAAACTCGGCTTCTGTTGAATACAGTATTGAAAATCTTGAACAACCTATCCTATGTGTTGAAGATGCTGTTGAAAGATCAAGTTTTTTTGTTGTTCCTCCATTTTTATATCCAAAATATCAAATTGGTGATATATCAAAAGGAATGGCAGAAGCTGATCACAAGATTCTTTCTGCCGAGGTACATGCGCAGAATAAATTTCTTCTGAGTAATGAATATTGTTGTTTATTGATCAAACTTATTCATTGTCATTATCTATCAATGAAACAGATGAAACTTGGATCCCAATACTATTTCTATCTAGAGATGCAAACCGCACTTGCTGTACCGGACGAAGACAATTGCATAACTGTTTACTCGTCGAGTCAAAACCCTGAGCATGTACATTCTACTATAGCAAGATGCCTTGGTATTCCTGAAAATAATGTTAGAGTAATTACAAGAAGAGTTGGAGGAGGTTATGGAGGAAAAGGCGGAAAATCTGTAGCTGTAAGCTTTTAATATCATTGATACTGTTTCCTCAAATAATTAGTTTTCCTTATTTTGTGAAATACAAGTTGATCATTATAAAACAATTCAACTGTATTATATACTTTAACCTCTCCCTTGCATATGTGTCTCGTGTCATGTCATGTCATTTGCAGGCTGCTACATCTTGTGCACTCGCAGCGCACAACTTACAGCGACCTGTCAGGATGTATCTAAATCGTAAGACTGATATGATAATGGTCGGAGGAAGGCATCCAATGAAGATAACATACAGTGTCGGATTTAAGAATAACGGGAAGATTACTGCATTACACCTTGAGATATTAGTCAACGCTGGGATTTATCCAGACGTTAGTGCAATAATGCCGCGCAACATAGCCGGTGCACTTAAAAAGTATGACTGGGGTGCTCTCTATTTTGATATAAAGTTATGCAAAACAAACCATCCTAGTAGAACTATAATGAGGGCCCCGGGGGATGTGCAGGGATCATTCATCGCGGAAGGTATAATAGAAAATGTTGCAGCTACACTTTCAATTGAAGTAGATTCTGTCAGGAGCATTAATCTTCACACTTACACAAGTCTTAAGAAATTCTATGAAAACTCTTGTGGCGAACCTCTTGAATATACCATGCCTTTAATTTGGGACAAGTTAGCTGTTTCTACAAACTATGAGCTTAGAGTAAACAAAGTGAAAGAGTTTAACAGTATTAACATTTGGAAGAAAAGGGGAATATCTCGTGTACCGGTGGTGTATGAGCTGAACCTAAGACCAACTCCAGGAAAAGTTAGTATTTTATCAGACGGTTCTGTTGTTGTTGAAGTTGGAGGAATTGAATTAGGCCAGGGTTTATGGACAAAGGTGAAACAAATGGCTGCGTTCGCACTTGGCACAATTCAATGTGATAGAAGTGGAGGTCTTTTGGATAATGTCAGGGTTGTACAAGCTGATTCGTTGAGCTTGATTCAAGGAGGATTAACTGCTGGGAGCACTACATCAGAGTCGAGCTGTGAAGCAGTTAAGCTTAGCTGCAATATTTTGGTCGAAAGACTAAAGCCTATCAAGAAAAAGCTCCAAGAGGAAATGAAATCTCTCAAGTGGGAGAATATTATTCTTCGGGCATACATGGAAGCTGTGAATTTATCAGCATCTTCATATTTTGTACCAAGTAAAAATTCCATCAGGTACCTCAATTATGGTGCTGCAGTCAGTGAGGTGAGTTTGTTTCTTCAATGTTAGATACATATGTGATATTGTTACACAAACCTTATTACTGAAGCAAATGAACCAAATTATCATATAATGCTATGATAAATACTTAAAATTGTTTCTCAGGTGGAAATAGATCTTCTCACAGGAGAAACAAGATTCCTGCAAACAGATATTATCTATGACTGTGGACAAAGTCTCAACCCTGCTGTGGATTTAGGACAGGTAATACACACACATATTGCATGGCTGATACAACACAAGCACTTTAGTTTAAAGGCGGGTCTAATATCTGACACATGTGGTTACATTCATTTTCTTAAGTTATTACTGTTATCTACGTGTTCGTATATGTGTAAATGATTCATGCAAGGTCGACTCGCTAATTTCATATTATAACCACAGCAACACGACTCCTTTGATAATGCTATAATTGCATCTTGCAGATTGAAGGATCTTTCATACAGGGGTTAGGATTTTTCATGCTTGAAGAATATGAAACAAATGTTGAGGGTTTGGTGTTGGCAGATGGAACATGGAACTACAAAATCCCAACAATGGACACAATTCCTCAACAGTTTAATGTTGAAATCCTCAACAGTGAGCATCACCAACATAGAGTTCTCTCTTCCAAGGGTATGCCTTAGGACTTTTTCAATATTTGAGCATTAAACTTTAAGTGTTTGGAACCAGTAAAAGTCATTCCAACTAATTTGAGTAATAATTGATCTTTTTTGATGCAGCATCTGGTGAGCCACCCTTGCTTCTTGCAGCTTCAGTTCACTGTGCCACAAGATCAGCTGTGAAAGAAGCAAGGAAACAGGTCTTATCATGGAGCAACTTAGATGAATCAGATTCAACGTTTCAGTTGGGGGTCCCTGCAACCATGCATGTAGTAAAGGAACTCAGTGGACTTGACATTGTAGAAAGATACTTGAAATGGAAAATGGACAGCAAGTAAAAGATCTCAATCACACAGTAATTTAAAGACGGGCTATACCATTAAATCGGACTCGCATGATTTACTCAATAATTGATTTATCGAAAATGATGTATAGAACAGAAATGAGGCAGATAAATAACTCAAACTCGCATAATGTAATAGATGAACGAATATGAGAGTAAAGCTCTTGTTACCACGACCTGTCTAAGACACTCTTTGTGGTTTCATGATTCTCCATTTCTTATCAAAGTTGGGATACAAGTTGGTGTGCTTCGTCTGTATGTCTTCTCAACTGCATTTCTTTCCATTGTTAGTTGAATGGAAAGTAAGATTAACCCTGAACTTTAATTTCCCTCATCAAACAATTATCTCTATCCATGATTATCTCAACAATATGAGACATCCTCTCAACAACCTATAATTATCTCAATAATCTATAATTATCTCAATAATATGAGCCATATTTAACAATCTCAACCTTAGCGAATATCAAATCCCTACGAAGACTTCTTGCATAATCTTTACAAAAATTTGCAATTGTTTTTATTAGTTTTCAGTAAATTATGTATGAGTTTTATGGAAGAAAAAAATAGGAAGAAAATGAATAAGTGAAGAAACAAAGCAGACACATTGCAAAGAAAATAGCATTTTTCAACATAATTTACAACATGATGTTTATCCAGTAATTTGATCATATATAGACTTTCATGACTCGAATTGAGACATGTTTTTTTTATTAAAAAAAAAAATCTAAAAATGAGCTCTAGCCAGTGGAATCATTGTGACCGCGATAAAATAATCACGATCGTGTAAAAGAAGCATCATGATCACGATGTTGTTGAGACAAAATCATAGTGGTCGCAATGACATCATTGTGGATACAATGGAAGACTTTTCTGACACGTTTCTGTTTTTATAAAAAGTGGAAAACGCATAGAAAAAAGGGTGGAATTCTTGGGTCTTAATTTTGAGAGTGAAACACTTTCGGGAGCTCTGGAGTGAAGGTTTCCATCATTGGAAGACAAATTCTAACCAAATATTCATGTATTGTATTGTTTCTTTATCAATTTAGTTATGATTCCTATTAGTATGAATAAATAAGTTTTATTGATTAGGGCTTGTTAGATTAACATGTATGAATAAATTCTAACCAGATCTCAATGAATTCTTGAAGGTTCAACTTTATTTGGTGCTTCTTTACCTCACTTGTGATTATCCCTTCAACATATCTGTGTTTAGAATAAAACATCCTCACTAATGTTGGGTATATGTCCTCTAGGACATCAAAGGTAAAGCTCTTCAGAGATGCATCATCAAATCACTTTAGAAAATCACAATCCATGAAAAATGTTTCTATAAGGTGATAAGATTTGAGAATCCTCTTTTGTGTAAAGTATCGAGTGAACAAGACATTTTGCTTTTGAGATAAAAATAATTCTGACAAGTAACTGGAATTTGAATAACTTCAAAAATTTCACATTCTCTTGGGATCCATTGATGATGATGATATATAATTGCAATAGATAAAACACACACAAGAAGAAAGAAGAAGAAAATCGCAAGAGGTGGATGGAAAATAAATCAAGAAGAGATATCTATTTATATTAACTAACTTTAATCAATCACCTTGCCCTGATAATCAATTAGGGCATTGATTCCATGATTTCCTCATGATTTAATTATAGGTGGTACACTCTGATCAATGCAACAATCAATTATTCTCTTGGTATAATCAGAGTGTTAGATTGATATTCATTGGCATTTTGTTGGCATTAATGGTGGTGTTCAACGAATAACCTGGTCCAGAATAATCGATTAACAAGACCATAAAGATCATTGAACACCACCATCAATGCCAACGAATAGCCTGGTCAAAAATAACTTGTTGAACATCACCGTTGATGCCAACGAGCGTGTTGTCGAGTATTACCATTAATGCTAGCAATGACACAGTTTGAGCACCACCATTTTAGAAAATTTTATGTCTAGGACCTTAATATCATAATTTTCACATTTTTCCAATTTTTATGAAAAACAGTAAAAACGTATCATGATCTATGACGTCGATTATTGTCTAATTTTAAATCTTGTTTTCAATTGTTTTTTTTCCTCTCTTCCTTCCTCCTTATGTGTATCTTTGATGATTAAGATGTTTTTAATTTATTTGTTTGTGGGATAACTAGAAAGAATGAGAATCATTCTTGTTGTTTTTCTTAATGGTGTCTATTTATAGACATCTTACTCCAACAGTCGCATCTTATCTCAACAGTCATTTTTCAATAGACATGAAGTGAAAGAAGAGGGATTTAAATTTTATTTTTGAAATTCAAAATAAAATTTCATTGACTTAATTATCCATCCACCTAAACAATCATCATATTAAAGTATCTTTTATTTAAGTCAATTTTTAATTTTACATGAGTCATATTTAATAGATTAATAAATGAATCCAACACACTACTAATGTTTTATCAAACAGTCATTGAACACTACCAATGATGTTAACAGTTACATCATCAAGATCCCTGTGGACCAAAAAATCTTCTTTTACACTTAGAGTATACACATAATTTGCACAAATTTATCAAATTTGAAATAAGTGTCTTCAAAACTGCAAAGTGATTTAGAATTAGGTTTTTATCTTTGGTACTCAATTTTTTTGGTTTAGTGCGTTGGTGAAATAAGTGACCAAATTTATTGCAGAAAGATCTTTATAAATAGGATGATTTAATTTCTTCTTATTTTTAATTATCTTTTTAAATTATTTATCTGAATTAAAATCTAATCCATTTTTATTAAAGGAAAATTTTTGATTGAATAGAATTAAATCAATTGCTATTTTCTCTTAGTAAATTTAGAAGTTTGTTACTTCAATTTTAAATGAATAGTAGGAACCACATTTAGTTAATTTTATACAACCAGTTTCTTCAAGAATAAACTTTTTAATTAATTGGTGACATATTGATGCAAAGGCAGCTTTTTGCCTGCTCTAGTTACTTTTGAATCTTATCAAAATTTAAATGTGAAGTGTGCCAACTCAGATGCATTTAATGTTGTGGTTTAACACTTTTAAAATGAGATTATGATATTAATGCAACTCTTTAATTTGAATTCTTGATCAAATATTTCAGATTGTTGACAAGATATGTGTTCTAATTAGGAGTGGTAAACGGGCACATCCGTCGCATTTAATTTTGTTCTGCAAAAAGTCTCTTCACTTTTTTTAATAGAAGATATAGTACTCTTATTATTTTGGAAAATTAAGTTGTAGAACTAAATCTCACAAGACATCCTCAAAAAAATGCTATATTAATTGCTTGATTCATTATCTAAAATTCACATGCCTCATTCATTTTGCTCTATGGTGACAAATCATATATAATTTCAATTTTATTTTCTGCACCGCCAGGAAGCTAGAGTCTTCAACTGCATCATTGTTTCAAACTAATTTTTGAATAGTAAAAAAGCTTGTATACCAGTTTTCTTTTCTTCATCTCAATGCTTATTCTTGTTTTAGATTGAACTTTAACCAAAATACTACTATAGCATACATGGTAATAAAAGTTCACATGCAGTTAACTGAAAAATAATATCTTTAAATGAAGTTTAGAACTACCAATAGTATTTAACAACAATTTATCATATAAGAATATGAGGTGTTCTGAAAAAGTCCTTTATACTTTAACTGGTCCCAGATTGCATCACGTGTATTGTTTCTGCGGTTGACACATTAGTTTAAATTGTTTCACGCAAGCAGTTTCCTTTCATTGCTTCTTTTATTCATTATTCACTCCTACACATATGTCTCATTACTTCCTTTTCATTTATTTTTCAAAATTTGTTGCATCCATCACATCACAACTTTTTAGTATATCTTATCTCTCAAAATCTTTATCTAACTTTTTCACTCTCCCATATTTTTGTTGTGGTTGTAGGTTTCCATTTTTCACGCTTAACATCGTTTCAAATCTCAAAGTTAATTAGTTAAAATCCAATTTGTTCATACTCATTTATTTCCATTGTTATTGTCATTTTTATTGTTTAAAATCAGGAGGTTCTCAAAGATGTTTTTAGTTGTGTAAAGTTTCTAAGCGGGTAAAAGACTAGCTCGGTTAGATTCACTCCCTCAAGAAGGAAAATGTCTCTTTTTTGTATGAATTTTAATATGTAAGATCTGTTAATTTTATTTATGTTATTTTTATATCTACTTTTTTAAATGTTTTTTGTGTGCATAGGAGACACGGTGGTTCTGCGATCAGTTGCAGAAGATATGATTAATATGTGTCAAGAAAGATATGAAGTTAGAGAGAAGAAGTGTAACAAGAAAGTAAATGATTAATGGTGTTTGATTTTATTGTTTTAAGATTTAAAATCCTTTTTATTTATTTATTTTATTTTATTTTTGGGTTTTGGATTTAGTGACCAAAATGATTGAAAGCTATGAAATGTATAGAAAGTCACTATGCCAAAAATGGCCTTTAGCAGCGCTTTTTTGACCTTTAGCAGCGCTTTAAAGCGCTGCCTAAAGTGGCGCTGCTAAAGGTAAAGGCAACGATTTTTTTTATGGAAAAAGCGCTGCTAAAGGTATCACTTTTAGCAGCGCTTTTTTACCCCTTTAGCAGCGCTTTCAAAGCGCTGCCTATTCTCCCCCCCTCTCCCCCCTGTAGCAGCGCTTTATTAAAGCGCTTTTGTAGGCCACCCTTTAGCAGCGCTTTTTTAAAGCGCTTTCTTAGACACCTCCTTTCCTAACCTATAGCAGCGCTTTTTTATGCCTATTTTTCTCCCTTTAGCAGAGCTTTCTTGTAAAAGCGCTGTCTATACCTCACGTTTTTAAAAATTTTTTTTTTTGAAAAATCACATTTTTTTATATTTTTAGACAAACCTGCTTATAACAATTAAATTCCCTGCTTATAATTCAGGCTTTAAACATAACTTGGCCTTTAAACATTGTAATTCAACACTTGGCCTTTAATTCAACACAATATAACTAAACATTGTACATTATACAATAACACTTT